TGTTCCCGAGGAATAATGGCTCTACTATGTTGTAGCATAAAAGGCCTGAGAATTATCCAAATCTGGCAATCTTGGTGGCATCTGAAAGGGCGAATGTTCCTCTACCCATTGATGTAAGTTTCATTTCCCTTTTTAATAAAGTTTTGAAATTATACTCAGAAGAAGGCCTGAGATCTTGTCCTGCTGCTTGCTATTTTTGTGTAATTCCCATTTTTCTACGCATTACAGGTCATGTTCCCTCGTACTGACGGCACTCCTATGTTGCAGCATAAAAGGCCTGAAAATTATCCAAATCTGGCAATCTTGGTGGCATCTGAAAGGGCGATTGTTCCTCTACCCATTGATGTAAGTTTTATATCCATATTTGGTTTAAATCAGAAAATATCGTCCGAAGAATGCCAACACTTTTGTCCTGCTGCTTGCTATTTTTGTGTAATTCCCATTTGTCTACGCATTACAGGTCATGTTCCTTCGCATTGATGGCACTCCTATGTTGGAGCATAAAAGGCCTCAGAATTATCCAAATCTGGCAATCTTGGTGGCATCTGAAAGGGCAATTGTTTCTCTATCCATTGATGTAAGTTTCATATCCCTATTTAATATGGTTTAGAAATTATACTCAGAAGAAGGCCGGAAATCTTGTCCTGCTGCTTGCTATTTTTGTTTAACTCCCATTTGTGTACGCATTACAGGTCATATTCCCTCGTACTGATGGCACTCCTATGTTGCAGCATAAAGGCCTTAGAATTATCCAAATCTGGCAATCTTGGTGGCATCTGAAAGGGCAATTGTTTCTCTACCCATTTATATAAGTTTCATATCCATATTTGGTTTATTTCAGACAATATCGTCAGAAGAATGCCAGAACTCTTGTCCTGCTGCTTGCTATTTTTGTGTAATTCCCATTTGTCTACGCATTACAGGTCATGTTCCTTCGCATTGATGGCATTCCTATGTTGCAGCATAAAAAGCCTCAGAATTATCCAAATCTGGCAATCCTGGTGGCATCTGAAAGGAGAATGTTCCTCTATCCATTGATGTAAGTTTCATATCCCTATTTAATATAGTTTTGAAATTATACTCAGAAGAAAG